TATATGCAAATATAAAAATATAAGTAATAAGTGATATATATCTTTATATACAGCATATATGTATGTATATATTTATATGTACTTCACATATATACAGTATTTATATTATATATGAACATAATACATACATACATATATACATGTTGTATAAACAAATAAATATATATATTTCTATATATGCATACATATATAGAAATATATATGTATATGTAAATATATTTATACATACAGTATGATATACAGTTTACTTCACAGTCATATATGTGCTGGAAAACATAAATATATATATATTTATATATAGTGTACTCCAACAATGTGAACCTTATCTTCTCCCCTGGTGTTTCTGTTGAGGTACTACAGTATGCTGTAATTTGTCATGCTTGTATATTATTTAATATAACAGCTCTTTCTTTTATTTTCTCTAGATTTTTTTTTTTACATTTTGGCATTTTTTAAGGGGAGGGAACTAAACAATAAACACAACTACATCGTAAGCTTTACTTGAAGTATTTTAAGCACTTGATTCATTTGTAAAACTCACGTTAAATTGAGCAAATGTGGTTTTTCTAAGGTGAATTTCGGGTTTTTTATATTTACTAGTGAGGTGTGTCTGAGAGCTTCAGTTTCACTTTACAATGTGAACCAAGGAACTCCATTTAGCTGCGACAAACTCACTAAAGCAAGGTTCATTTAATGAGAAGTGTAACTGAGAAAGGACTGGATTTAGAAAGAGCCAGAGTCACAGTTCTTCGAACTTAGTCACTACTGCCAAGTCCTCTCCTCATCCCTCATAGTCTGACAAATAATAATAATAATAATAATAATAATAATAATAATAATAATAAACCCTTCCATTATTAAGGACAAATGTCCTTTATTCTCATCCCATCTAAGTTACATGGCCATTCTTGCCACAACTGTTGTAATAAAACCATTTCAAATGTTGAGCTTATTAATTTCTTTTTTTAAATTATTTTGTGAACTTTATTGATCTCACACTGGGGACATTCTTGTGCAAATTTTCTTTTAACGCCGCTGTAAGTACGTCCCAATGATTTTTACCATAATAACCATCATAATTAAGATAGTAAAAAAAGTTCCAACTTGCCAACTCGTTCACACGGAACGTAGTTAGCAATAGTTAGCTAGTTGTGACGTTTTCGTCTGCTCTACTTGCTAACTAGTTCTCGTGCGAAATTTGTTATTGGTCAGAAATTAGTTTGACGGTAACATAAGACAACGCCATCAAACTGGAGAAAACTAGAGCAGAAAACTGGACTCCAGAACGTTCTTCAGCACTGACACATTCTGTTTGAAATTGCTCAATTTAAAAAAAGAAAATCTATCTCAGGTTCTTAAAGCCAGATTCCACAGATGCTTACGAAGAAAATGTCATGGCAAATGACAAATGTGAATGGTATTTTGATTAAATAAACATCTAATGAGGTCACAGTAGCGCAAACGAAGGAGGTGGAGGCTCTAGAGATTTCGCAACATTGCCATATGTGTGGCTCTGCTGCTACATGTGGTTACGTAAGTGATCCTTCACCAGTGTCGTGGAGGTGCGTATTCAGCACCAAGGAGCTGCACGCACGGCTATCTTCTACAAAGAAATTTCTAAATACAGTTAATTTGCCTTAAATCCTCTTCACTCTATGTCGGACTGTAACCTGTTTTCCCATTAATCCATTCACTGTCACATTTATGCACTCCCATCGTGGGGTGGAGAGCTTTGCCCAACGACACAGTGTCGTGGAGAAGATCGGCCACATGCAACCTAATTAGATGTCAAGCAGGCTGTACCAGTTAAAGTCCATGTTTTTGCCCTTTGTTTTCATGCAAAAAAAAAAATACAAGAGTATTAGATATTTATTATTATTTATTCATATTTAAAAAGTATAATTTTACAAAACAATATCCTGAACATGAAGTGATTGTGTATTTTTTTCAAATTCATCAAGCGGGCCAAATTGAAACCCCCTAACGGGCCAGTATTGGCCCACGGGCCGTATGTTTGAGAGCCCTGCTCTAAAGCGGTGACCGACACAGGGAACGAGAAAATAATGTGATGTAGCAGTCCAATTTCCTCCACTGAGACAGTGCCTGGAATCAAACCCACGACTTTCACAGTTTGTACAGAAGCTTCTGGTTCCATATATATATATATATTTATATATATATTTCTTCTATAAAGATCGGCTGAGTCAAGCACAAATGGCTTGTGACTCACCAAATGTGCTGTTATCAGATAACTGCCAGTCATTTTTTTTATTTTAAAAAAGAAAACTTTAGAAAAAAAGATTGCAAAATGATTTCAGTGTGGGATGTTTAATGATGAATATATATATATATTTATATATATTTAATCATTTTGTAGAAGGTCTGAGAAGTCCAAAGTCGAAGACCAAATATGCAAGCTTGATGAAGCATGCTCTTTATACGTTTCAAAACGCTGACTCATGACTTCCTAGACATGGTGTGTGTGTGTGTGTGTGCGTATGTGTGTGTGTGTGCGTGTGTGTGTGTGTTCGAGCGTCCTTCCTGCAGTCCAGATCTCACACCGACAATATCAAGGCGGTCAGTTAACGCATATAAATAAATAAATACATAAAATCAAATAAATTAAAAAAAATAAAATATTATTACCAAATTGCACATTCGAAGTTTTTTTCTGAATTAAAAGCAACTCTTTTCCTTTTATTATTTTTTTTATTTTTTTTTATTTTTTTTTTTAACAAATGGACACCCACTAATCCTCACGACGCCTGTGTTCAAGTTTCATTTGGAGACAAAGCGACGGTGATCACAGCCACAGAAGTAAACACAGCGCAGAAACAACACAGGACTCGAACCGTATACATTCAAGTACTCGAGCATTTGGTGCGCCACGAGGGTTTATTCTCTCACCTGTACCACTCCAGCCCTCGGTCGTAGTTCCTGTCGAAAAAGTGCGGCTCTGTTCCGAGGGCGCGCACATCTGGATGAATCCTGATGAACTCCAGCACCGCCCTGGTGCCTCCCTTTTTTACCCCGACTATCAGCGCGTTGGGCAGCTTCCTATTCCCATATTTTTGCGCCACAGTCATGTTTCTAAACTTCGCGTCCGCCCCGTGACTCCCAGACGCGACGGGGACTTTACTCTGGTTGCGAACATCGCTGGATCCTCGCCGGGCGGCGGTCACATCCAGGGCGAAGCGCACGTCCAGCGATGCGCAAACGTCGACGTTTCCAAGAAGTTTCTTTCCTCCCGCGGTCTTGCTCGTCGGGCATCGTTTCCCTTCGTAAACCTTGCTGGTCATGATTGTGCCGCGACAAAAGATGATGCTGTAGCATAAATAGGTGAAGGACAGGGACACCGTGAAGATGAAGGCGAATCTGGCGCTGAATCTGTTCGGAGATAAAAGGAAACAATGTGCCATGTCTCCATGGGTTCAAAGCGCTGCATGGTTTTCCATCGAGGGTTCTTCTCCTCCTCTCTCGGTCTGCTGTAGAGACTGGCCACAGCACGGGTTCTAAAGTGAAACAGCCTGGCATGTGAGGATAGGGTGGCTTCTCCGAGGCATCAAGTGCGCGTAACTGGCGTTATTTCTTTTCATAGGCTGCTGAACTGTGCGCGGAAACCTGGCGCATCACACGACCGTGCTACTCACTCACCCCCCCCTTTTACTCAGTACTTTTCTATAAATATTCGGAGTCCTTTTCATCCTTGCACACAACTCTCCATCTTCTGTTGTTGATGTCTTGGAGGGTATGGACGGACAACTTCTCTCTCCCTCTGAAAATGAAGTTGTGCAGACTTCAAGTCACAGATAGGCTTCAGATAATACATATTTTATCAGCACGCCTACGTCATGGGCTTGATCTTGATTCCATATGCGTTTTATCTTATAAAGTGATATTCAAAGAAATCCTGAAGACGTTTGTTTTAACTTTAAGATGCACCATTTGGTTTTTTTAGTGCGCATAATATATATATTTTTTAAATATATATTTTTAGTCCTTAAGCAATTTGGATATACAGTATAGTAATCTTTAATACGCACAATATATTGTGCGTATTAAAGATTGCTATACTTATACATATATACATATATACATGTTATACATATATGTGCTGTATAAATACCAGACGATATTGACGACGTTGCCTATTTTTATGTTACATGTCCAGAGTAAAAAAAAAAAGTAAACAAATAGTTATACTTTTAGATCAAAAACGTTACATGACTAACCATGCATCACTGTATATTTTCTTGGTATCAGTAATCAGTAATATTTGTTGCACATATTTGCATTCATCAGATAAAATCAAAACTATCAAATACATTTCTGTCAAAAAAAAAAGTTCCTCCTTTTTCAGGACTGATTTCTGGTCTGGTCTTTTATTTAATTATAATTATTATTAATTAGTACAAATGTAAATTTTTTCACTGTGTCCCACTGCGGCCTGGTACCAAATGACCAACAGACCAGCACCGGTCCCCGACCCGGGGTTTGAGAACCCCTGGGTATAGTGATATTTTGGGCCATAATATTTATTAATAAACGTATAATGTCTAACAATAAAATCTATCCAAGTTACAAACAAAAATGTACCAGTTCAGTGCCATATCCTGCATATTTAGTCCACACACAGCATGAACTGATAGCATATGGCCAAATGACTCCAGTTTTACAGAAGCAGTTCAAGCCCAGCTTAGGTGACATAAACAGTACACACTGGTGAGACTACTACGATGTGACAATTTGTAGGAAAGATCTGATTGATCATTAAAGATGTATAAGCAACTTCAAGTAGGGATTGGATGTTTTATCATTCCTAGATAAACCTATACCTGTATATGCTGTGTTTACATTGAATTTCAAGGTATTTTTTAGGTCATCTTTTGAAGACCAAAAGTCCAGGAATGTAGAACTGGTTAACTTTTTTTTTGCAGTATTATGCAGGCACAACATATTACTTCAGTGTCAGATGGTACAAAATCATTCCAGATAAGCTTTTATAGATATTCTTCCAACATTTGCCGTTTTATTTCTTGGGCACATTAAGCTAACACCTTTTTAGTGTGTGCCAGGTGAAACAATGCATTTAGCTGCCAACGTTTGAAGACCACACATTAATTTCAGTGTTGCTGTGAAGTGATCGGTATGCAGACTGGAAGGCAGAGTTTCATTGTCTGCTTTTTAAGTGTCGTGTATTATTTCGTTTTGTTGCAGGTTGTACCAGAAGCAGCAGCTGCAGTATTTGCCTTTTTTTTTTCACATTAAAAATGGATTTGCTATGTCACTCCGTGTCTGTCCTTGACCTTGCACTGATGAACAATACCTGAACCTTCCCGTTTGCTCTACGCTGGCTTTTATTTCATTTGAAATCCATTTGGGTTGGAAACTTGAGAGATCCAACAAGGAGGGCTTAAAAAATTAAAAGAAAGTTATCAGAGAAAATCACATTAGTGGGAGCTATGGTCACAAAATGAAATAAAGGAGAGGCTATTAAAGGTAAATGTAATTGTTTCAAATCAAAACAAGGCTTTTGTTGTCAAAAACAAGACCCTGGATGAATGCTGCTTCATTCTTTAAAGACAAACAAAATCATTTTAAAGCCACACTTAGCTACACTTCAGAATGTTAGACGATGGTCTTTTAACTTTAGCATTTGCCTTAACACTAATGTTACTTTCAGATAAATACAGTAAGCCCATACCAGGACTATTGATGCATTCGCCACTTATCACAGATGCCAGTTTTATTTTTTGTTACTTTTTAAGTAATGTTTTATATTCTTGCTTAAAGTACACAACAACCTTTAAAATAAAAATAAAAATGACGAAGCCTGTGACGAAATATATAAACTTCGGTAAGGAAAAAAAACATTAGGGCGGGGCGAATGTGGAAGCGATCCAATCAGATCGAACGACTCCCATTTCTAGGGTAGGCAATTCACTTCCGGAAACAGAGCGCCTGGAAATTTTCAAACCTGCGTCACTCGTTACCAGCGAAAACCTACAGTGTACGTAACATAAGTGCGAAGGTATTTTCACGAAAAACGCAGAAATGGCGCAACGTTTAGAACGAAAACAAATGACTGACAGCTGCTCACACTTCACATGTGACAACTCGGACAACAGGTGAAACGCGGGCAGCAAAAAGCGCAGGTAAAAACGTCACTCATTGATGCCTTTTAATTATTAAGACGTGGATATTTAATTTCGCGTCCTCTGACATTTAAACCAATACATATTCTTTTTTTATATTACCTATTTGAGGTTTGTTTTTATTTTTAAATATATGACATTCACCGGTACTTTCAGTGCTGAGAGAGAAACGTTTTTTTAGTTGACTTACTAGTGTATTAAGTAGTATTATTTGGGGATTGTATACAATGGCATTATAGCTAATAGTTTTTTTTTGTTTTTGTTTTTCATTTTTCAATTATTTCAAATACTTTTCTTTTTGCACCTGTATTGGACAATAAAATCGTAATATAGTCCAAACATTCAGAATTTCCTGTCAAAATGAACGCTTGTAGTTTTATCCATAACAGTGCCAGTTTCTAATGCAATACTGCCTTAGGGCTTCAACGTCATGCCCTGTACATTGGTTTTTGACATGGTCATTGAAACTTTATTTCTGGTTCTAATCTTCTGACCCGCAGGGATGTGATGCAAGTACCTAAAGCCTTCCCACTTCCTCTGGGGTAAGAGTTCCCACACAGTTTGGGCTTGGGAGCTGCTATTCCAATGACCAGGCTAAAGCGCTATCTACCTACATTGAAAATGTTTTTTTGTTTTTCTTCTTTCTTAGGATCTACCAGCACTCCCTTTGCGATCTGTTGATTTAGGACGAGGTAAGTGGCTCCACTGATCTTATTGTGTATATTAGAACAACAAAAAGTGTATGGTTCATGGGATTATTGGATATACCTTGCAGCTTTTCCCATCATTCTGCTCATTTGTTAAAATGTGTTAGAATTTCCAATCTGATAAATCAATACACATTTCTGAATGTAAATAATGCGTTCACTTTGACAGACCTAGAGCAAACTTTTTTTCTGTGTCGTCACTGCTTTGTATCCGCTGCAACAAACTTCCATAATAACTTCTACTTAAACAGTGTTACTTAAACAGACAGCAGCCGTTGATAGTGGGGGTTCTGGCGCCTCATTGCTGCTCTGGTCTCTAAGAAACAAACAAGCATTACTATAGCTACTGCACTTCCTTTTTTTATGAAGTCATCTGTCAAGCTAATACAGCTGCATACCAGCAGACAGCATCATTTTACCTGCAGCTCATGTTGAATGATGTCAGGAAAAGTAACCGGCACTGAAATGTTTGATGATGTACAGCTCTGTGCAAAGGTGCAATATCTCTTGGTTAGATTTTTTTTATATACATATACTTTTCCTCAGCTTGTCAGTCTACATCGAGCTTAAAGATTCGAATAAATAACTTAAGTAAATAAATAAAAAAAAGAAAGAAAGATGGAAAACAAATCGAAACCTCTGAGAGCTTATTCATTTTCTATCTAGTCTGTTGGAGCCCTTCTCTGCAGGGCAGCTGAAGTAGAGATGACTGTGACTATGCAAAAAAAAAAAAAAAGGAAATCAGGTTTAAGTAAACATCAAAAGTTCAAGGCTTCATAAGATTGAAATACCCACATGAAATGACAAAAAAAAGCATCTTTTCCCCCAGTCTAGAGAGTAGATTACATTATCTGGAGTCTCTTAAAGAACCAAAGGTGAAATTGTGAGCATGATGGTTGTTTGTCTCAATATGTGGCTCTCTCTGGTCCCCTTGCAAAATAGCCGAAGAATATAAACTGAATATTAACCGGAGGTCAGCATCAGAGTATGATTATCAAAGGAAAGTTCAGTTGAAGTTCAGAACAAGTCTCCAGAGCCTGAGTGATGAAAGAGGTCCAGTCCCCACAGTTTACAGCCCGAGTGAAAAGTTTTCAGCAGATGAAAAGCAGTGCAGTTGAGTGTGAGAGGTTTCAAGCGAAATTCCAAGTGACCAAAATAAAACCTGACTGCAGTCTGAGTAGAGTCCCGAGGATTTTGGGTTTGATTCAGAGTCATTCATTGCAAGTCAGGTCATGAACACTGGAGTAGAGCACCGGAGCGCTGCCTATTTTGGGCTCTGCTCAGTGTAATGGCGAAAAAGCAGAATTTACAGACCTGTTTTTTTTTCATCATTCATGTCAGGTGTTTTATTTCTTATGAGTATTTTTTTATTTTTATGATTCTTATACTTTCGTTGGTACCTGAATGACCTCGTATTAGCTATGGCACTGTTTCCCTAAGGCTGGCTCGGGACCCTCAGATTTTTTTTCTGGGCATGTTTCCCAGGAGTTTATGAATATTTTCTATTGACTTGGTTCACCAAGGTTTGTGAATTTTAAAATAGGGGCCCCCAGAAAAAAAGTTTGGGAAGCACTGAGAAATGGTGCCTGGATGCCCCTTATTATGGACACACCATTAGTGGGCACCTAAAAAGAAATGTATATATAGCTTTTGCGAACTGTAGCAAATGACACTGTCTGAGAATGCACACCATATTGCGATGTTCCATTTGTATTTACTTTGCGGACAAAAGTTGTTTATGTTAAAATGAACCCCCTTGTCATCTAGCTCGAAGGCGAAAGATGAGGAAAATGTATATGGCAATATATCAAAGCCAGAAAATGTATCAAGCTTATTTTCATTATTCTGTAATTAATGGATTTATTGATTATCAATTATAGCAGAGGTCCCCAACCTTTTTTGTACCAAGGAGCCATTGGCCGGTATCAGCCGGTATTACTGCGGACCGGTAATACCGCACCATTGTTGAAGGGGCCTTACGTTTTCAAAATAAAACATCTTTTAGACTTTATTCTGTTAGTATCGGAGTCTGAAAAATTGCCAGATTATCTTTTAATTAAAAAAATGAGTCGGT